CTTGTTGCCTAGGGGAAGTGCAGTGGCATGATCTTGGCTCATTGCAACATCCGCCTCTTGGGTTTAAGTGATTCTCCTGCGTCTGCCTCCCAAGTAGCTGGGATTACAGTCACCTGTCACCACGCCCAACTAATTTTTTATATTTTTATTAGAGATGGGGTTTGCTCTCTCCCTCCTTCTCCCTCTTTTTTTGAGACCGAGTTGCTCTGTCCCCCAGCCTGGAGTGCAATGGTACAATCTTGGCTCACTGCAACCTCTGCCTCCCAGTTCAAGTGACTCTTCCATCTCAGCCTCCTGAGTAGCTGGGATTACAGGCCCACACCACCATGCCTGGCTAATTTTTGTATTTTTAATAAAAACAGGGTTGCACCATGTTGGCCCGGCTGGTCTTAAACTGACCTCAGGTGATCTACCCGCCTCAGCCTCCCAAATTGCTGGGATTACAGGCATGAGCCACTGTGCCCAGCCAAGACAGGGTTTCACCATGCCTGGCTAATTTTTGCATTTTTAGTAAAAACGGGGTCGCACCATGTTGGCCAGGCTGGTCTCAAACTCCTGCCCTCAGGTGATTCACCAGCCTCGGCCTCCCAAAGTGCTGGGATTACAGGCATGAGCCACTCTGCCTTGCCCAATGAGACTTCATTTCTATAAAAATTAGAAAAATTTGCCTGACAAGGTGGTACCCGCCTGCAGGCCCCGCTACTCAGGAGGCTGAGGCTGGAGGACTGCTTGAGCCAAGGAGTTTGAGGCTGCAGTGAACTATGATGGTGCTGCACTCCAGCCCAGGTGATAGAGACCCCCTTCTTAAAAAAAAGAAATACGCCTTTGTTGGAGTAAGCCACTGAGATCTGAGAAGTTTGTTAGTATAGCATAACTCACCCACAGCGATTCCCATAGACCACATAATTTGTTTCAGCAACTCTTATTACAGGACGTTGTTACTGCAAAGCAGATTCTAAGTGATAAATCCCCTATAAGAGATAACCCCACTGCCACTGTCCCTGAAAGCGCCAAAGACAGAGCTAATGAAAACTACCCAGGTATGGTTGCGCATGCCTGTAGTCCCAGCTACTCAGGAGGCTGAGATGGAGTTGGTCCGAATGTTGTGGGTTATTGTTAAGCTGATTTAACATTGCCTCCCCCGACAAGCATGCTTGGCTAGCTTAAAAATAAAATGAAAAAAAAAAAAAAAAAGAAGGCTAAGATGGGAAAACTGCTTGAGACTGGGAGGTTGACACTGCACCACTGTACTCCAGCCTGGGTGACAAAGCAAGACCCGTGTCTCAAAAGAGAGAGAGAGAGACAGAGAGACAGAGAGAGAATGAGAACAAACTGATGAGTGTTCCCTTTGGTTGCTAAGGCAGGCTTTCAAGTTATTTCCTGGCAGCCACTTCCCTTAACGTGTATCATCTTATCTCCCACCTGGCATCCAGGCCCTCTCCTAAGCCTCTTTTGGAAACTGCTTCTCATCAAACTCTTAATTAAGTGGCTTCTGCAAGACTGACTCAGGGGTAGGCCCTGAGGTAAAAATGGGCTAGTCACTGCTGGGTGCCAATAAAGACATGAACTGATTTTTATACAGTCACCTGGCTGTTGTATACATCTGTCATCATTTTCCTCCTCCTTATTATTTTATAAAGATGGGGTTTCACCATGATGGCCAGGCTGGTCTTGAACTCCTGACCTCAGGTGATCCACCCACCTCGGCCTCCCAAAGTGCTAGGATTACAGGTGTGAGCCACCGCACCTGGCCCCTCCTTATTATTACATACAAAGCACTTAGAACAGTGCCTGACATAAGATAAATACTCTCTTAAGTAACTATTGTTGTTGTTATGAGAGAGGTAAGAGTGGAAACGGGGGGCCAGGTGCGGTGGCTCATGCTTGTAATCCCAGTACTTTGGGAGGCCGAGGGTGGTGAATTCAAGATCAGCCTGGCCAACATGGTGAAACCCCATCTCTACTAAAAATACAAAAATTAGCTGGGCCTGGTGGCTTATGCCTGTAATTCCAGATACTCAGGAGGCAGGAGAATCGCCTGAACTCAGGAAGCAGAGGCTGCAGTGAGCTGAGATAGTGCCAGCATACTCCAGACTGGGCAACAAGAGCCAAAGTTCATCAAAAGGAAAGGAAATAGGAAAGGAAGAAAGAGGAGGAAGGAAGAAACAGAAGAACGAAAGAATGGAAACAGGGAAGCCAGCAAGCAGCTATCACTGTGTCTCATTAAGACATTATGGCAAGCCGGGTGTGGTTGCTCACAGTTGTAATCCCAGCACTTAGGAGGCCAAGGCAGGTGGATCACCTGAGGTCAGGAGTTCAAGACCCACCTGGCCAACATGGTGAAACCCCATCTGTGCTAAAAATACAAAGAAGTAGCTGGGTATGGTGGTATACACCTCTGGTCCCAGCTACTCTGGAGGCTAAGGTAGGAGAATTGCTTCAACCTGGGAGGCAGAGGTTGCAGTGAACCACACCACTGCACTCCAGCCTGGATGGCAGAGCAAGGCTCTGTCTCAAAAAAAAAAAAAAAAAGAGAGATGATGGCAGCCTGGACTACATGATGACAGTGGATGTGATGAGAAGTAGTCTGGGAATATGTTTTTTTTTTTCCTTATTTTGAGACAAGCTCTCACAATAACAAGGCCCAGGCTGGAGTGCTGCAGCCCAATCACAGCTCACTGCAGCTTAGGCCTCCTGGGCTCCAGTGATTCTCCCACCTCTGCTTCCCGTGTAGCTGGAACTACAGGTGCATACCACCACGTCTAGCTAATTTTTTATATTTTGTAGAGATGGGGTTTTTGCCATGTTGCCCAAGGCTGGTCTTGAATTCCTGGGATGGAGCAATCCTCCTGCCTCGACTTCCTAAAGTGCTGGGATTACAGGAGTAAGTTACCACACCCAGCCTATCTTTTCTTGTTTCTTAATTATTTATTTAGCATTTTCTCATTTGCGTTTCTGTCTTATCAAGGTGTTGGAGACTTTGTTGTGGCTGTTGCAGGATGGAGACATGTTTTGAAGGTGGAGCCAAAGGGCGGGTTAATGGACTAGCGGTGGATGAAAAGGATCATGGGTAACTCCAGGGTCCTGTATTCAGTTCCTCAGTGTTTGACCCCTCACCTATCCATGAGCTCAGTGACGGCAAGGACAAGATATGTCAGGGTTCTTTGCATTCAGCAGGGGCTTACTCACATTACCACCTGAGCTCTGCCTCCTGTCAGAGCAGCAGCAGCATTAGATTCTCATAAGAGTGTGAACCCTATTCTGAACTGGGCATGTGAGTGATGTAGGTTGCCTGCTTCTTATGAGAATCTAATGCCTGATGATCTGAAGAGTTTCATCCCCAAACCATTCCCCCAACCACACCCCATCCGTAGAAAAAGTGTCTTCCACAAAACCAGCCGCTGGTGCCATAAGGGTTGGGGACCGCTGCCACAGGCCCTATGGGCCTTTGTTTGAAGAGGGAGTCTCAACAAAGTTATTTTTTAGGTGAAATGTAAATGAAGCAGTGTTCGGATTGGCTCAAAGCAAATCAGAACTGTGCATAAAGGGATCAGGTCTGGATGGTGAAGTGGGCCCAGTGTTCTGTCTTCGCAGAAGCAATAAGGTTTAGATCGATGTAGAATATTGTTTCCTTATCTGAAGCTCCAAACCTGGATTGTAAATAGGAACTGCTTTTCTGTGTCAAAGTGACTTAGCTCCTCTAGGCAAAAGTGAGCTGTTTCATTCTTACTTGATATAATTTTAAACAGCAAAGTGTGTGATCATCTCTGACTTTAGACAACTGTTTCCTACTAAGAAAGCAACAGTCACTCAAACGATGGGAGTTCTGCCACTTTACATCTGCAGTATGTCCAAGAAAAATATTTTTTTTTTGGCTGGGTGCAGTGGCTCACGCCTGTAATCCAAGCAGTTTGGGAGGCTGAAGCAGGAGGATCACTTGAGCCTAGGATTTTGAGACTAGACTGGGCAACATAGTGCAATCTTATCTCTCTCTTTAAAAAAAAAATTTTTTTTTTGAGACGGAGTCTTGCTTTTGTCACCCACACTGGAGTGCAGTGGCATGATCTCGGCTCACTGCAACCTCTGCCTCCTGGGTTCAAGCGATTCTCCTGGCTCTTGAGTATCTGGAATTATAAGCATAAGCCACCAGGCCCAGCTAATTTTTGTATTTTTAGTAGAGCGAGGTTTTACCATGTTGGCCAGGCTGGTCTCAAATTCCTGACCTCAGGTGATCCGCCCACCTCGGCCTCCCAAAGTGCTGGGATTACAGGCGCGAGCTACCGCGCCCGGCCAAAATAAATTTTTTTTCAAAATTATCCAGGTCTGGTAGTGCGTGCCTTGGTCCCAGCTGCTTGGTAGGATGAGGTGGGAGGATCACTTGAGCCGGGGAGGTCGAGGCTGCAGTGAGCTGTGATCGTGCCACTGCATTCCAGCCTGGGCGACAGAGCGATCCTGTCTCAAAAAAAGAAAAAGCAAAAAAAGGAAAGAAATTTTTTTCCTCGTAATTCTTCCGCCAGTTGGCTTATGTCAGCCGAGAAACAAGAGGACAGATCTTTCACAGTCCAAGCTAATTCTGACTTTCCCAAGTATGACGAAAGAGAAGAGGCAAGGATGACTATATTTTTTAGCCTAAGCAACAAGAAGAATGAAGTAAACTACTAAGATACGACAAACTGGAAGGTTTTGGGGGAGACAAGATCGCAAGCTCAGTTTCGGATGTTATGAGTTTCAGACGGCTCAAATGCGTGGGGAGGGCGAGTGGACATCTCTTCGGCTCGCTCCGTTCGCTACCTGTAGTTAATTGTCTACTCCTGTTGTTTCCCACGCCTGCACCTTTGCATGTGCAGTGTCCACTGCCGGGTATGCTGTCTCCTCACGGTTGAACCCCACTTCCTTACACCCTCGAGCGAGACCCAAAGCCCGCACAACAGCGCTAACGCTCGGGCCCCGCCCCTCCCAAGGCCCCGCCTCCCCCAAGCCCCGCCCCGCGCTGCGCTCACTTGTAGAAGCTCACAGGGCGGTTGTCCGCGCCCAGGCGGCCTGCAGTGTTGGAGCAGTTCGGCGCTCTGCAGTACTTGGGCATGGCTGCCCAGCTGCTCTGAGTTTTGCCAGGTCAGCGGCTGCACTTTGGTTTTCGCCGAGCGCCGCCGAACCCTGCCTCACGTGACGTTCCTGGAGTCTCGTCACGTACCCGGCAGAGCTGAGAGCGCCTGTATACTAGGTGCCCCCTCCGGTCCCACAGCCACGCCCTCGTCACGTGGCGAATGAGCCAAAGCGAGTACTGTGCGCCTGCGCAAAGGCGGCCCGTCGCCAACCCGACTTTCATCACGTGTTTGAGAGGCGTCGTCACGGCGTTTCTGAGCCTGCGCCAACCGAATCAACTTGCCCCGCCCTTTGCTTACATCCGGGCGACCGTCAGAGCGCACATAGTTCCTCTGGGTGGCGGCAAAAACCGAGGTGAGGCGGCTGTGGCCTTAGCCTCGTAAAAGTTAAAACCTGTATGTTCCAGCGAATAATGAAAACGCAGTCTGGATGAAAGACCCCACGACGCTTGATCAGGCCCATCCTGTACACTAGCTGTAGCCCCGCCCCGCCAGGCACTCGCTGCGCTTCCTCGTCCCCATTGGTCCTAGGAGCACCGCCCGGCAGCCCTGAGATTGGCCAGACCGGGCCCGTCGCGTCCAATAGGCGGCGGCGCCGGCTTTCCCGCGGTTGTTTGCTGTTCCAGTGAGTCGTGGAGGCGGCGGCGGTTAGGGGATGTAACGGTCGCCCGGCTCCGGCGCGACGATGGCGGCCGTAGGGTCCGGAGGCAATGCGCGGAACGATGCGGCGGAGAAGTTGACCTCTGTCATGGCGGGAGTTCCGGCGCGGAGGGGCCAGTCCTCCCCGCCCCCCGCCCCACCGCTCTGCCTCCGGCGGCGGACGCGATTCTCGACAGCCCCCGAGGAGACGGTGCAGAACCGGGTGAGGAGCAGCTCGCCATGCCTACCCCAGTTTTAGGTTTCCTGGGTCTCCTAGTTTCGCCCTGAGAACTGTGGCCCCGACTGTCAGCCCCCCGGCCAGTTCGCTCAGGTTTCTCCCTGCCGCGCCTCTTCCCCTAAGCCCCGCCTCGTCTCCTAAGCCCCGTCCCTTTAGCCACGGTCCCGCCCACTTTCCCTCTCCTCGCTGTATTGCCGGCTCCACCTTCTTGTGTTGGAGCAATTCCTGGGTTCCTCCCTGGTTTCCACCCCTAGGAATGCATTTTGCTTTTGCAAATCACAGCCTAGTCCTGCTATACTTTAACCCCCGTTTGATCGCCTTTAGACGCCGCGATCATAGCGCTCACCAGCCTCACTGCCCTGGCCCCAGCTGGGTCATGAGGGTCGCTTCCTGGGTTCAGTCCAGAGTATTACCCGCCCCAACTCTTCCTCTCGTCTATCCCTCCTTTTCTCACCCTCTGCGGACTCTATCCCTTTTCCTCACCAAGGTGGGATTCTTAATCCATATTGCCACTCAAAACTATGAAAAAGACGTGAGAAATTGCTTGTAAAGTCTCTGCAGTGCTGCCTAGGGAGGAGGGCATACAGAACAGTTTCCTACATCCTGAAATAGAAACATAGAAGGAAATGATTTCACAGTAGGTAGAAGGAATTCCATCAGCACAGCAGCACTTTTTAAAAAAATTGTTTTCCAGCTCTCTAGGCACAAAACCTGTTTTTATAAAATGGAAATGATAAGAACCATACCACTGGCCGGGCACGGTGGCTCATGCCTGTAATCCCAGCACTTTGGGAGGCCGAGGTGGGCTGTTCACCTTAGATCAGGAGTTCAAGACCAGCTTGGGCAACATGGTGAAACCTCGTCTCTACAAAAAGTACAAAAATTAGCCAGGTGTGCTGGCGCGCATCTGTAATTCCAGCTACTCAGGAGGCTGGGGCGGGGGATATCATTTGAACCCAGGAGGCGGAGGTTGCAGTGAGCCAGGTCATGCCATTGCACTCCACCCTGGGCCACAGAGTAAGACTCTGTCTCCAAAAAAAAAAAAAAAAAAAAAAACGCACCATACCATCACGTTGGAGGAAAAGAAATTTTAACTGTGATCCCTTCTTGGCACAGAGTCCAGATAAAGGGTGGATACCTGGTAGCTGCTGGTGGAGCTTGCTCCTGCCCCATGGCTTTCTCCTGCACTGTGATTATACCGCCCACTCCTGGCTACAGAGTGTACAGGCTGTACCTCCCATGTCCTCCCTGTCACCAAGGTTCAGTCATACTGGCCTGCTTTCAGTTTTCCTGAGGCTCCAGGTTCTCTTCTGCCTCCTAGCCTTTGTGATTGGTGAGTCCTCAGCCTGGGCTTTTTGCTGTATTCTACCTGGCTGGCTCCTTCCCATCCCTCGGATCTCAGCCTGAAAGTCGCTATCTTGAAAGGCTTTCTTGAACCCCATTCTTAAGGAGACACTCACCTTCATCTCTCACCAAGCACCCTATACTTCATAGCCTTTATCTTGTACGTTCCTGAAAGTGCCTTATGAGCTCTTAAACTATGTATAATAATAACAATAGCAAATTCAGAGAGGTGGCATAGCAAGGTGGCTAAGAGCACAGACTGTTGATGGTATGGCTGGACACAGGCAGCCTGAGCTTAAACTTCGTCCTATTCTTAAACTTAGTCCTATTCTTCCTGTCAGGTTATAAACTTTTCTTTTTCTTTCTTTCTTTCTTTTTTTTTTTTGAGACAGGATCTTACTTTGTCATGCAGGCTGTAGTGCAGTGGAGTGATCTCAGCTCAGTGCAGTCTCAGCCTTCTTGGGCTCAAGCAATCCTCCCACCGCAAGCCTCCCCGAGTAGCTGGAACTACAGGCGCATGGCACCATACCTGACTAATTTTGTGTGTGTGTGTTTTTTGTAGAGACAGGGTCTCGCCATGTTGGCCAGGCTGGTCTTGAACTGCTGAGCTCAAGCGATCTGCCTGCCTCGACCTCCCAAAGTGCTAGGATTACAGGTGTGAGAGCCACTGTGTCCTGCTGAGTTACGCAGTTATCTGTGCCTCAGTTTTCTTATCTGTAAAATGAGAATAATAATATAGAAATCTCTCATAGGGTATTTGTGAGGATTAAATGAGGTCACATCCTAGGCACTTAGAACAACACTGGCACATGGCAAGTACCCTATTAATGTTAGCTAATACTGATTTATTAGTGTGTATTTGGGGTATTATTACTGTGTATTTGGGGTAATATTTATTTTTCTTGTTTGACAACACAGAGTTGATTGGTCTTGCAAAGATCTAGTCTAAAAGTAACCATTCATACTAATGCTTGGTAATGCTAATCAACAGATAAAATAACATGAGTGCCATTGCTCAGTTGTTTATATTGGAATCCTGACGCTGCCCTTTCCTGGATGGGTAACCCCTCTTGGCCTCTGTTTCCTCATCTATTTTGTTTAGTTTGTTTTTTTTTTTTGAGATAGAGTCTCACTCTGTTGCCCAGGCTGGAGTATAATGATGCGATCTTGGCTCACTGCAACCTCCATCTCCTGGGTTCAAGCGATTCTCCTGCCTCAGCCTCCTGAGCAGCTAGGATTACAGCCATGCACCACCACACCTTGCCAATTTTTTGCGTTTTTAGTAGAGACAGGATTTCACCATGTTGGTCAGGCCGGTCTTGAACTCCTGACTGAGCCATCACACCCAATCTTTAAATTTTTTTTTTTTTTTAAGACAGAGTCTTGCTCTGTTGCCTAGAATGGAGTGCATTGGCGTGATCTTGGCTCACTGCAACTTCCACCTCCTGGGTTCAAGTGATTCTCCTACCTTAGCCTCCTGAGTAGCTGGGATTACAGACGCCCACCACCACATTTGGCTAACTTTTGTATTTTTAGTAGAGACGGGGTTTTGCCATGTTGGCCAGTCTGATCTTGATCTCTTGACCTCGTGATACACCCTCCTCGGCCTCCCAAAGTGCTGGGATTACAGGCATGAGCCACCACGCCTGGCCTGCTTTGTTTAAATTTTAAATATTACTGTTCATGTGTTTTTTTACTTGCTGAAACCTCTCAGATTTCTGGACTGTGAATTTGATGTGGGAAAACTGTCTACCTTTGGTCACTTCTGTGTCTCTCCTGTACAGCCCAAAGTGCTAGCCTTAGAGCCAGACTGCCTGAGTTTACATGGCCACTCACAGATGTAAGATCTTGGGCCTCGGAATCCTCACCTGTAAAACAGGGGTGATAATAGTGCCTTCTTCTTGGCCTGTTGTGAGGATTCAAGTCTTTTATACATATAAAAGTACTAAGAGGCTGGGCACATTGGCTCCCACCTGTAATCCCAGCACTTTGGGAGGCCGAGGTGGGTGGATCAGTTGAGGCCAGGAGTTCGAGACCAGCCTGGCCAACATGGTGAAACCCTGTCTTTACTAAAAATACAAAAATTAGCCAGGGATGGTGGCATGAGCCTGTAATCCCAGCTACTCAGGAGGCTGAGACAGGAGAATCATTTAAACCTGGAAGGCAGAGGTTGCAGTGAGCCAAGGTCTCACCACTGCGCCCCAGCCTGGGTAACAAAGCAAGACTCTATCTCAAAAAACAAACAAACAAAAGTATTTAGAAACTTATTCACAGGTCACCTTCTCACTACAGCATTCTCCCACTTCCTTTGCACTCCTAACCTCCTTATCTGCTTTATTCTTCTCTCTTGCACCTGTCATTACTTGGCATGTATTTGACATATTTGTTCTGCTCCCCTTCTATGTCCACCATCCCCATCAGCAGCATAATGTGGCTGTAAAATGAGAGTAATGATGTAGAAATCTCTCGTAGGGTATTCCACAATGGCAGGAATTTGTCTCTCCTTCTCACCACTCTGTGCTCTCCACCTAGCATTGTATTGTCAATGGAATGTTGAAAGAACAAGTGTTAGCTGCTGGTGGATGGCATGGCCACAGAAGCTCAGTGAGTGGGTGTCGAATGCAGCCGAGCCTGAATGGGTAGCCAAGACGGCTGCACCATGTGGTGCCAGCTGGGGTGGGTGCCTCTGACTTGGGCCTTTTCTTTGCAGGTGTCACTCGAGAAGGTGCTTGGCATCACAGCCCAGAACAGCAGTGGCCTAACCTGTGACCCTGGCACAGGCCATGTGGCCTACCTGGCAGGGTAAGCAGATGAGAGCCTTGGCGTCTAATTGTTGCTAGGGACTTTGGAGCTCAGAGCCTGAAGCCATCGGTGAATCTCTCTGAGCCTCATCTTTTTCCCCTGTAGAATGTGGGTAATGGGGTCTGCCTCCAAGGACTGTGGAGAGGATTCCATAGC